AAGAAAACTAGATTTTTGATCCATGTTTAAAAAGCGTGGATAGTATTTTTGTTGTTTAATTACAAATGGATAATTTTTTTTATTTTGATGATATAAAATGTTACATGATCAAAATCAAATTTTAATTATGCGGGTATGAAAAAAGTTTTAAAAAGCGCATATAATTTTTTGTTGACCGTAAAACCAAATATTAAATGAATTTATAACTATTGTTATATATCTATAATATTTAAGAGCTGTTATATTATTATTATTTCAGTTTGGTACAATGTTTTCATTGAATTTTTATATCCGAGTGAGAATTATTGATCCATTTGTTGATATATTAATAAATATGTGACTTGGATAAAAATAAATATTTTTGTACATAACATTTGATCACGAATTTGTGTTATTTTAAGTTGTCGAAATCTATTCAAAAATTAAGGTCAGGTATCTATACTATTAAAAACATTTATTAAATTTATTTGTAAGTGTATTAACTATCAAACTACATAAATATAGAACAAATTATTACTCATTTATTTAAAATTTTTATTAATAGTATCTATTCTAAAAATATTTTTAAAAAAACATGAGACAAATGTTTTATATTTGGAAATCTACATTATTTTAGTTGGAAAGACAAATATGTGAGAATAATAGCATATTCTTATTAATGATTTCTTTCCTTTTATTTATAACTTATGATAATAAATTTATTGGCATGGGTGAAAATTTAATAGTATAGATTAAAAAATATTTTATGCATACATTTGAAATCATTAATGATTTATATGGTCATATTTATTTTCCATTAAGTATTTTTAATCAATATTTACTTCATTATTATTATTTTCACATTTTTATCACCACAATATTTTTATTATTGATTTTGATTTATCTGAATAATTTTTATTTTATTTTTGATTGATAAAAATATAAATAAATAAAAAACTGAATAAGATATTGGCTCATTAATCAAACTCATTAAATAGACATTGATTGTACTTAATTACTCCCTCTGTTTCATTATAAGTGTCACTCTACAGCTGTGCACACGGATTAAGGAAACAATTAATTTTACATATTTCCTATATAAAACACAATTACCCATACACCTAATCATATTTTAACCAATAGAAAAACAAATTACACCTAAAATTAATAAATTTTGCGTGGAAAACTGAAAACGACACTTATTTTGTAACGCAAAAAATTCTCTACAACGACACTTAATATGAAACGGAGGGAGTATATAGTTTGTAGGCCCAAAAATAAATGACAACAATATCCTTAATGAAAATTTTAATTTGTTCATAACATTAAAGATAATTTTGAAAAATGTAAATATTTCATTAAAGAGAATGATCCGTTTTTAATGGTTTTGATAAAAGCATACTATAGACTGGAGACCAACTTGCATTAAAATTATTTTTAACTCATGTACTTTTGCAAGTGTCATTCTGTTCCTAGTGGATACAGATTTTTATGCTATTAAACCACATTTATTTTGATATATAATTTTTATTTTATAGGTGTTTATTTAGGATATTTCAGTTTATATACTATTGATTCTTATTTTATTCAATTTTGTTCCAAAACTATAATTATATTTATCTTTTATAAGTTTTTTGTGAAATTTAGTCTGTTTAGAAAAATCAAATATTCTTACAATAAGTCCTTTACTATTCTTTATATATCCAATTTAGACTGTTTAGAAAAATCAAATATTCTTCCTAAACCCCTCTTTCTAAATCTATTATTTTTTGTTCCACAATAAGTCCTTTACTATTCTTTATTTTTTTTTTTTTTTGACATCAAACGGCTGATCTATTACTCAAGGAACTCGAGGTGGTCTGGGAATCCAGACCGGAATAGAACAACCAACGAACACAAGCTTACGATAAAATGACCTAGCTGTCTTAGCTAAAGAATCAGAAACTCCGTTCTGACCTCTAGGAACATAACAAATCTTGAAATCCGGGAAACAGATCATCAGTGTCTCTAGCCTTTCTAGCTCGGTTGAGAAGTTTGGCCAAGCTCGAGGATTCTTGAGCATCTCAATCATCTCCTTGCAATCAGTTCCAAAGCTCTGACATGGCGAATGTTGAAGCATATTCTCCATTGCCCAACGCAGTGCTTCCAACTCTGAGTGCAGCGCCGACTCCACTCGATCAAAATTACGCATCCCCAATAAGCTACTAATCCCTGAATTATCGTTCAACACCCATCCACTGCCACTGAAAGCACATGTAGGAGTCCAAGAACCATCCACCAAGCAAATATTAGCCAAACTTAAGGTCTGGTCTTCTTCAGGTCCGTCTCCAATGGGAGCCGGAGTTTCCTGCTCATTTGCTTTGAACCATGCCTGACATTCACTTTCAGCATAGCGCGCTATCTCTAGTGGATCCCTTTCGATACCTCTGAAAAGCTTGTCATTCCTAGCCTTCCAAATGTACCAGATCAACCAAGGATAAGGATCCCTGTCCGATTCTGGTTCCATCAGTGCATTCTTCCTCCAAAATAGATAATCCATATTCGCGTACACGCTTTGTACTGGGAACAGNCCTGACATTCACTTTCAGCATAGCGCGCTATCTCTAGTGGATCCCTTTCGATACCTCTGAAAAGCTTGTCATTCCTAGCCTTCCAAATGTACCAGATCAACCAAGGATAAGGATCCCTGTCCGATTCTGGTTCCATCAGTGCATTCTTCCTCCAAAATAGATAATCCATATTCGCGTACACGCTTTGTACTGGGAACAGTGCAGGATTGGTAGGCGTAGATGATAGAGCCCAAACTTGTAGTGCAGGTGGACATTCAAAAATTGCATGCGTAATCGTCTCCTCTGGCTCTCCACATCGAGGACAATGGTTGTCGCATCTCATATGTCTATAATTCAAAATACTCGTAACCGCCACATGTCCTGTGATTATCTGCCACATAAGATGGCATATCTTCTGGGGGGCCTTGACCTTCCATGCATGTGCTTGAAGACTTGTAATACTAGGCTCACGCATCTCGAGATCCTGCTCCGCCCTCAAGAGAGTTCGTGCTACCCAATATCCTGATTTAACTGTATACTGTCCATTTCTCGTATAACCCCAGCAGTACGTGTCACGTCGATGCGTAGAACTAATGGCCATGCTCTTAATGAGTGGTATATCAGGACCGACAATATAATCCTGCAGTCTGTTTACATCCCAAGTCTTCGTTATAGGATCGATCAAATCACTCACTCGCATATTTGGATGCATAACCGGTGCCAGTGGGATTGCTGGCCTCGCAGGTATAGTAGGAATCCAAGGGTCTTCCCACACTTTAATTTCATATCCCGAGTGGACCTTTTGTCTAATTCCTAATAACAACAACTCCCTTCCTGCCGAAATACTAGTCCACACATATGACGGGCTACTAGTTTTGATTTGACGCAAAGGCGTACTCAATTTGTAGTAACGGCCTCTCATAACACGAGCTACAAGAGAGTCAGGGTTCTGAACTAGTCTCCATAATTGCTTTGCTAACAACGCGAGCTTAAACTCATGGAGCATCCTAAAACCAATTCCGCCTTCTTCTTTAGGTAGACAAATTTTATCCCATGTTGACCAGTGAATACCCCTCTTTGGTGGATTTGAGCTCCACCAAAACTGTGCAATGGCACTAACCAAGTTCTCACATATCTCCAAAGGGAGAAGAAAGCAAGACATAACATACGTCGGGAGAGCAAGCAGAANCTCTCAGCTTATCCTTAAGGAAGGCAAAAAGCTTGCATTTAGATCCACTGATATCCTCTGGTATACCTAGATATGATCCCATGCCTCCTTCGTTCTGGATCCCAAGTGTGTTTTTGATCTCTTGCCTCACATCATGACCGATTCTTTTACCAAAGAGTAAAGAAGACTTATCAAAATTAATGCATTGTCCTGAAGCTTTCCCATATACCTCGACCACTTTCATTACTTCTTCACATTCACGGGGCTCCGCCTTACAGAAAAACAAACTATCATCAGCAAAGAGAAGATGAGATACCGATGGACACGCACGCGTGATGCGCATCCCCGTTATCTTTCCTTGATTCTCTGCGTGATTAAGAAGGCTAACGAGCGCTTCCGTGCACAGAATAAAAATGAAAGGAGACAAAGGATCTCCCTGCCGTAGACCTNTCTTATTCCGCCCACTTGGTTTTGTTCTTAAGGCATGGAACATCTCCTGAGCTATCATAATGTTGTCAGATATCTGTCTCCCAGCAACAAAGGCTGACTGGGTCTCTGAGATTAAGTTTGGAAGGAATTTTTTTAGCCTCTGGCATAAGACCTTTGAGATAATCTTATAGCTGACGTTGCATAAGCTAATAGGGCGTAACTGGCTCATCTGATTCGGCTTATCTACCTTTGGGATAAGGCAAATATTAGTATCATTTAATCCAGGTGGTACTGCTCCCTCAAATAAAAATTGATTAACCATACGAGTTAAATCATTCTTGACAATATCCCATAATTTTTGGTAAAACAATACTCATATATATGAAAACAATACTCATATATTATTAGTTGATCTCGATTATAAAAAATATTATCCCGCTAGAAATCATTGTAACTTTAATAAAAGTCGTTAGTATTGGATCGTTTTGGCCACTTTGTTTTATTATCATTTGAAAAGTTTTTGTCAAGTAAGCATCGACACGTTAGAGAGAGAGAGAAGACCAGAGGAGGAAACGACGACCACGACATGAAACACACACAAAAAGAAAAGTAGTTCAATTTCATCTTCGCTCTGGTCCACCTATTTTTCTTAGACAAAAAAGTAGTACTAATAAATAATACATAAATAAGTCCTTATAGGATTCCGTGTTAGCTTAAGACACGAAGCCTACGCACTAAATAGTTGTTGTAATAAAAAAAAAGAATAAAATTTGTTAAAACTGATGGGAAAAGACGCGCGTGGCTCCCATTACCGTCAAATTGCCCACGTGGTAACAGCCAATATAAGCGGCGTTAAGAGGAAAAAGCGTTGCGTTGCTCTCTCTCTCTCTAGAAAGTCAAGAAAAGGAGACAAGACAGCCAAACACGGCCTTCTCTCTCTACCTTTGTTCCGAGTAAAGTCCATTTCATCCATGTGACCACTGTCTCTCCTCTACACGCCACCAATCTCCACCACCACCAATCTCCTCCGACGAGTCTCCAATTCCCAAATCTTCGTCTCCCCCTAGGGTTAGGGTTTTGCTTCGAACCTCAGATCTTCCTGTTTTTCGGATCCTTACTCCTTGCTTCTTGCTTGCTTGCTTCTTGGAAAGAAGCGCGTTGACGGAACCGATGCCGGAAATCGATCTCGCGAGAGTCGATCAATGCGTCGCTCACGTGAAATTCGATGATGGAGATTCTTCTCCGCCTAATGAAGCTCCTGGATTCGATTGCTGTGGTTCGATTAATGTGGAAGTGAAGCTAGAAGAAGAGTCGATTTGCTTCAACAAGTTGAAACCTAGACGCGGCCGCCCACCGAGAACACTGTCGAAAGCTTCTCCAGTTTCTCCGCCCTCACAGAGGAAGAGGAGAGAAGACGAAGATGTTTGCTTCGTTTGCTTCGATGGAGGTAGTCTTGTCCTCTGCGATCGTAGGTAAGCTAGTTTGAGCTTAGAGGAAGTTAAACTTTCCAACTTTTTTTCTAGTTATGATTAAATTGAGGGGTTTGTTAATTTTGTCAGAGGATGTCCAAAGGCGTATCATCCAGCTTGTGTTAAGCGTACTGAAGCTTTCTTCAGATCAAGATCAAAATGGAATTGCGGTAAGTTACATTTACCAAAAAAGCTTGAGTCTTGAGCTTCTTCATTGAGTCTTTTTCGGGGTTGTTTTCAGGTTGGCACATATGTACTGCTTGTCAAAAGGATTCTTTCTACATGTGCTACACTTGTCCTTACTCTGTTTGTAAGAGATGCGTTCGAAGCTCAGAGTATGTACTTGTACGGGAGAACAAAGGCTTCTGTGGCATCTGCATGAAGACTATTATGCTTATCGAGAATGCAGCTGAAGCTAGCAAAGAAAAGGTACTAAAATCTATCTATCTATCTATCAGCATTTTTTTGTTGCTTTCCCTAACTCACCAAAGTGGAAAGTACCTTTATGGAAATATCTAGAACCTAAAGCCTTGTCTTGCCATGTACATTTTCTCCAGGTTCAAGTTGACTTTGACGATCAAGGAAGCTGGGAGTATCTTTTTAAGATTTACTGGGTTTCTCTTAAAGAAAAGTTGTCTTTATCGTTAGATGATCTTACCAAAGCAAGAAATCCATGGAAGTCTTCTGCTTCTAAAAGAAGAACTAGTAGTCGGCTTCATGAAAAGGAAGATGGCAGTTCTCCTGGGGTCATGAAAGCAACAAGTCGTGCTAAAGTGAGGAAAATTGAAGCTGTTCCCGCAAGTAAGTTTGCTTCTGCTTTGGATTCGAACAGTTGTTTGGGTGACAGACTTCCACAGTTGACTAGTGCTACTGCGTGGGCAACAAATGAGCTCATGGACTTTATTGGGTACATGAAAAACGGTGATACTTGTGTCTTATCAAAGTATGATGTCCAAACTCTCGTCCTTGAGTATGTGAGAGGCAATAATCTACAAAACGCTCCTCTGAATTCAGAAATAGTGTGTGACGCTAGGCTTAAGAGATTGTTCGGAAAAGAGCGAGTGGAGCACTTGGAAATGTTAAAGCTTCTTGATTCTCACTTCCTCGATCAAGAAAGGTCTCCGGTTACAAATACCTCAGCGGGAGGAGTGACTGAAACTATGTCCTTCCAGGTCGACCCGAGCAGAAGCTGCGATAGGTTGAATGCACCTGAACAACATCAAGGAGAGCCACAGCAGTTGAACGAGAACAATGTTCAGGTTAGATCTTCCAGCTCAGATAGCAGAAACCATGACGTTGTAAAGTCCGAAACATGTGCTACGCTCCCCAATAAACCAATCGATGACTTGGAAGTGAATATGGTATGGTTATATGGAGATCCAGATGGAAAGATTCATGGACCGTTTTCTTTGTTGAACCTGCGACAATGGAATGCAAGCGGTTATTTCCCGCCTGAGCTGAGAATATGGAGGTTTGGTGAACAGCAAAACAGCTCCATACTTTTGACAGACGCACTAAATGGTCAGTTCCATAAAGGGTCGCTTCAGAATCCTTCTATATCGAAGCAGGAAGAGACAGTCACTATAGCTTACGAGCAAACCAAGAATGTGGCTGTTACTAACCTAGAGAGTAGAGTGCTAGACTTTAGCCCCAACTCAGTTTCTACTGACCAGAGTGTTATCACTAGCAGTATTAGTATCATCACAAAGAGCTCAGATGCCTGCAACGGAAGTGAAAACAAGTTTAACCACACTCATCACAAGGGGGTGGGTTCTGTTTCTCTCTGGAATAAAAGGAAAGTAGAAAGTTCTTTGCCCGGACAAAGCCCGATAAGCTGTTCGCTTTCGCTGGCTACATTTCCCGGAAACTCTCTGCCGAAACAGGAAAGATGGAATGTTGGTGAAACAGAGGCTGATGGAAACGCAATAAAGAACTCTTGCAGTCAAAACGATGTTGGCCTTAGCGGCGAGGCTGAGAAGCAGGTCACGGCCACAGTTCAGTCATGCGGACAAAACTGGAATGCTGCTACTCCAAGCAGTGCTTCAAACGTGTGGGATTCCAACTCCGGTGTGGTGTCTTTCACAGACAATCAAGAAATAGACTTCCTAGATCTCTTTAGTCCAACCTTCAAATTCAACTTCTCCTCTGATAACAATACCACGGATTGGGAACCCATTGTAGCTGGACCTGACGAATGTGATGAGTCAGTTTCAGATCTTTTGGCGGAAGTTGAAGCCATGGAGTCCCAAAAACGTCTTCCTTCTCCAACTTCAACATTCCGTGGTCCTGGAGAATTACTCCACCACTCCATTAACGATAGCTTCAGTCCCGTCGAAGGGCATAGCCCAGCACTTGATGTAAGCAAAGGTGACTCCATGAGCTCCACAAATGATCTGCAATTGCTTTCAAGAACTCACAACTAGCTGTGGGCACCGATAATGTATCGGTCCTACTGGAGAGAATCATAACCATGGCACACGTTATACATAATACATCATCCAGTGTCCGGGATATTCTGATCAATGGTGGACTATGCCCTCTTTTCTCCTTTTTTTGCAGGATTATTACAGAACATAAATAGTGGCGAAGCAGTATCATCAGAAAGAAAAGAGTGGTGCATATGAAGAAGATATGACCAAATGTTTCTTCGTAGTATTTTTGGCTGCATCCACCATTGTTTAGGTTTTGTACGTTGTCTTCACAGACGCAACTTGTGTATTTTTACATTGATTGTGTACGTAGGGTAAGTATAAATATGGAAGAACTGTTGTCAATGGGATCATCGTAATCAAAACATTGTAGGGATCATAATCTATTCTATATATATGATAGTGTAACGTCTCATTCTTTTTCTTTTTAATGTTGGACATCTCTTCTTGTTCTTCGTTTGTTTGTCTCTGACAAGTGTAGGCTCCAGCTTCTTTGATTCAAACACGGCCGTGTTCAAAAACATAGAATTCGGATTTAGAAAATGCAAACTCATCTTGTTTCGATCTACATATTATATGAACACAAAATTGGCTGCCCCAGCAATCGCTGCAGGGTTTGGTTCATTGGCACCAACACTACGCACTCTAGTTCCTGTGACTGTAGCCAGTGTGTTTGCTGCTAGTGCTGCCGCAACTGTTATTGGTTCTGCTGCTGCTACTGTACCATTTTTCTTTGGCTTATTTAAGAAAAAAAAAATGGATAGAAGTGTTGGTCATGTACCAGATTTATCTTATGCTTTGCTTCAAAATGTGTCATGATCAGCTGCTGGAGCTAGATTCTACGGGACTAAGGTACCAGGGAGAACTGGGATTTTTTAAAGAGCTTGAGTTTAGAGCTACGTGAGAAAATTATTATCAAGGAGTTAGTTTCGGTTTCCTTTCTGCTGCTAGATAAACTGCAACGAGAGTTATGCTCATGTTGAAATCTCTTTTGTTGGCACTATCCGATTTTGAGGATGATGATTTTCTTCCTTGCTGGTGTAATAACGATTAGATCTTAGTTGATAGCTTTGTTTTAAAAGAAACTAGATTTTGACCCGCATGATTAAAAATTTATATAGTTGGGTTTTGTTTTAATTTAAAGAATGTTTTGGTATAAAATTAGTTTACCAAAATTTGTGGTGATAGTTGTATTTCATTAGTTTTTAGTTTCAGTTTTTATTTTTAGATCTTGTTTTAAATTTTGGTTTTTGGTTTTTAGTTTTTAAATTTCTATTTTTGATTTTCAGCTTTTGGTTTGGGTTTTTAATTTTTAGACCTGCTGAGTTAGTTTGAACTGATATTACCAACAAACAAAACTCAATTAATCGAATATGTAATTTAAAATTGAAAAGATGACAAAATAATTTTCTAAAAATTTTGAAATAGTTTATTTTGTAAATTAAAAAAGCAAAAAATATAACCTGCGTTTTCAGCTTTTGGTTTTGGATTTTAGTTTTTAGATTTGGTTTTTGGTTTTGCGTTACATTTTTTAAAAAATTTGTAAATTATTTAAGAAAAATAAAACAATAAATTATTTAAAAGTTACCATTAAAATTTATCAAGATAGAGGGATTGTTATTTAAAATAAAAAATATTAACATGTTTTAAAGTACATAATTTAAATAAGTGATTAATAATAGATAATTTTGTTTTGTTGAAAATATTAAATATTTTTGGGCTAAAAGATATTAACATATTTTAAAGTATATGATTTAAATAAGTGATTAATAATAAATAATTTTTTTTTGTTGAAAATATTAAATATTTTTGGGCATGAAAATAGTAATTGATCTTTGATCCATTAAGGTGGAAAGTTTATTTAATGTTTTTTGGAGTTTTCTTTAATACTAAGCCCAAAAATCAAACAATTAAATGTCATAAAAACAAAAGTAAGTCCAAAACTCTATTCCATAAATAACTGCCGGTTTAATTTAAGTAATGCGGTTCAATCAACTATACAATTTGTATTATTTGTAACACTCTAGAAAGGCTCCAAATTTAAATGACAACTTGTATCATTAGATAAAAAGAATGACTCTATTTTAATAGAATAAATTAGATTTTGACCCGCGCTTAAAAGCGCGGAAATTTTTTATGATTAAAAATTTATATAATTAGGTTTTGTTTTAATTTAAAGAATATTTTGATATAAAATCAGTTCACCAAAATTTGTGGTGATTGTTTTTCATTAGTTTTTAGTTTCACTTTTTATTATTAGATTTTGGTTTTCGGTTTTTAGTTTTTAAGTTTCTACTTTTCATTTTCAGTTTTTGGTTTGGGTTTTTAATTTTTAAACCCGCTGAGTTAGTTTGAACTGATATTACTAACAAACAAATCTCAAATAATCGAACATCTAATTTAAAACTGAAAAGATGAAAACAAATTAAAAAAAAATGAAATAGTTTACATTGTAAATAAACAAAGCAAAAAATAATAATATGTGTTTTCAACTTTTGGTTTTGGATTTTAGTTTTTAGATTTGGTTTTTGGTTTTGCTTTACATTTTTTTAATCAGTAAATTATTTAATAAAAATAATACAATAAATTATTTAAAAGTTACAATTGAAATTTATCAAAACAAAGTGATTGTTATTTAAAATAAAAATTATATTAACATGTTTTAAAGTACATGATTTAAATAAATGATTAATAATAGATAATTTTGTTTTGTTAAAAATATTAAATATCTTTTGGGTCTGAAAATAATAATTGATTTTTTGATCTTTTAAGGTGAAAAGTTTATTCAATGTTTTTTGGAGTTTTTTCTTAATATTAAGCCCAAAAACCAAACTATATAATTTGTTCAGAAAATAAAAGTAAGCCCAAAACTATATTCCATAAATAACAACTGGTTTAATTTAAGTATAATTAGTAGATTTCCATATTCTATATTTTGATGATATATATTCTTTTTAAACATTCCATATTTGTAGGAAAAAATATGTGTTTTCGGTATACACATAAATATGTGCCGTATTTTAAAGGTACTTTACATTAAGGTCGTCTTTTTACATTAATTGTGTTGGTTTAATTTAAGTGATACGGTTCAATCAATTATATGACTTATATTATTTTGTAACATTCTAAAAATGGTCCAAATTTAAATGACAACTTGTATCAGTAGATAAAAAGATTGACTCTATTTTAATAGAATAGATACTTTGTAAATCCTTGGTAAGGGTTAAGTAGCAGCTGGAAAGGTATTAACATGAGTGGTTCTTGTGTACATATTTGTGGCTTATTCGTAAGCTTCATACGTTTGTTATAGTTTCTTCCTAGGTACACGGTGCAACGGGAATCAAATAGTGTTACTTGTTTTCCAGTTTTGAATCTTTGACTTTTTATAAACAAATATGTCATGGTTGGAAAAGTCTATACATCGCATATAAGTGCAGTGAGCCCTGCAGTTCAGGATAGGCTTACTTCAAGTAGTATGTAGTTTCATTCGTTAGCGTAACCATGTAAATCTAGCTTTTTTTTTGTTATTCCCCCGCAAATAAATAGTAACAGCGGCATGAAATTGTTGAAGGAGTTGCTTTGAAGTTGATGAGACAAGGTGCAATATACACAGTATACTAAACTCGCTTCGAGCAGCAATGGTATGGTCGGCAACCATCATAGTAGCTGCTGATTTCATAGATTGTCAGTAGTAATAAACAGAGTATCGCTATTAAGAGGTACGAAAAATACTAGCGGAGATGCAAAGTATGATACAATTATTACTCCAACTAAGTTTATGGCAATTATTTATTATATACTTTTTCGGGTCAGGCAAAGCAGGAAGGCTTCTTGCTGAAGAGCTTCCAAAAGGGTTACAAGGAAATAGGTCTAAGGTTTCCTATCAACAACTTTTGTATAAATTTCATCAGATTCTGTGTTATGTATATACTTTTTGACGAGCTCCATTTTTTAATTTCATCAGATTTGGAAGAGCTCCATTTTGTAATAAAAAGGTTCTACAGTCATTGTCAACAAATGATCCAAAACAAAGAACATGACTCATTTCCTCCAAGTTGTTGACATTCCTCTCTTGTGCTACCAACTTTGATTATTAAGATAATAGGGATGATTGGGTTGGACTGTAGATACTTTAACTTTAATTTTTATCGAAAGTATTTAAAATTTTTAATCTGTTATAAGTCAATTTTTAAAACTAACAAAAAGATTTAAAATGTTGTAAACCCTTTATGTACTAAAACAATATTTGTGCGTTGTAAGAAAAATGTATGGCCGTAGAAGTATGTTTTTAGTAGCTTTATTTTTTCTAATTAATTTTACAGGTATACCGGATACAACTACAAAAGAAAATATAAAGACTAAATTTTACAGCACAAACTTTGAAGCTACACGTTTACAGATTTTTAATTTGCGAAAGAAATGACATTTCAAAAAATAAAGCATACTAGGTAATAACCTGCGCCTTGCGCGGAATGAGATGATTATTTTTGTTACATTTAAGATAAAAGGATAATATGTCTATTTAACATGGATTTTTGTTTAGTTTTACGTTGTTTTATTTAATGTCCTAGAATATAACTATCATTCTAAATCTATATTTATTTTGGTTTGTTTAGTTTAAATATTTGATGTTTTTAATTTTTTTCGATGATAACCAAAAACTCTTGTTATTTGTTTGGTTTCGTTTTATATAAATTTAGACATTTTTTATGTCGAACTAATAGTTTCCTATTATAGTTTCTAAACAGATGTAAAATAAAATAAAATTTAAATAATATTTGAAAAAAAATTATTAACACAAAACCTTTCACTATAATTTGAGCGATAGTGAAAGAAAATATTAAAAAATAAAATTCAACTTCAATAAGAATTAAAATTCTCACTTGTGGTGAATATTTAGTTTTATAGTCGTTCCTGTCAATGTGTACATATATGTATATGTAAAAGTCTATAAATGTGATAATAAATATATGAATATACCGTTAATTAAGATTTAAAACATTTTTGTTCAAAATAACACATGATAGTAAATTCTTAAATAAAATTAAGTAAAATAAAACAAACCTAAAAATTAATAACATTTTTTCATATAAAGAAAATCAAATTGTACCCGTAAACAATAAAATAATATATATTACAAAGTGACATCTTCACTTGATACCTGGTTTTTTAATTGATTTTGTGATTTTTATTTCTTTTTAAAGCTTTTTTGATTTCTGATTATTTTCTACCAATTTGATTTTGTTTCTAATTCTTGGTCTGATATGAAAACTTTATAAAAATGTTAATATTTGACTAAACTAAAGATCCGACTTTATGTGTGGTGTTTTTCACCTCAGTTTCTGTAATTCATAATCAATCACTGTATTTGTTGCTGTTTGTGTACAGAAGCCTCAACATGACCAACTTCGGCAAGGTACGAAACTTTCAATTTCTACAAACATTTTTATTGCAACATTTTAGTTGATACAAATCTTAATGATTTTGTAATTTTTTTTACAA